TTCTGCCCTGCCAATCAGAGCCAGCAAGTGCTCCTAAAGTGTGCTTGCGTTGGTGGTGTGGTTTCATGTGCCCACACCAGAGTTGACCCCGTTGGTTCTCCTTGCCACTGTGGCTTCCCTTCCACTGCTATGAAGTATTTTTTACAGGCATTTGTCATCTGGCTGCCACAGATGGGTACTATTATTTGCCCTATTTCAATTGTCTTGGACCTCTCCCAATCACCACAAGTTTTCATAGAAAACAGCTACTGTCTCTTCAGTCACACCAGCCAACTCCCAGAGCACACTCAGTTGTATCATGTCCAGCCTTATAGCCTTGTACACATCCAGCTTTTCGAAACAGTCCCTAACCTCTTCTTTCACCAGCATTGGCTGCTCACCTTCTCCCCAAACTGTGCTGACTAGTGCAGTAGTTTGGGTTCATTCTGGCACCCTTAGTAATCTTTCCTTAAATTCCTACCAATTCTCCTGGACTCTTTTCTCCCTCAGACTGGTGTTCCAGAGGATTCTGCCCATCTGTTTCCTGAGTGAGTCAGAGTCTGATTTTCTGAAGTGCTGGATCCCTACTCTGTCATTCTCCTTCCTTCCTTTTGTCAGGATCATGAACTCAATCATCTCATAGTTGCTGCTGTCAAAGTTGTTATCCATTTCTGCATTCCCTACCAATTCTTCCTGGTTTGTGAGCAGCAGATCAAGAAGAACATAGTCCTTAGTCAGCCTTTCCAACACCTGCACCAGGAAGTTGTCCCCAACACTCTCCAAAAATTTCCTGGATTGCCCATTTCCTTCTGTATTACCCTCCTAACAGATGGCAGGGTGACTGAAGTCCCCCATGAGAACCAGGACCTCTGACTGGGAAACTTCTGCTAGCTGTTTGAAGAAAGCCTCATTCTGGTCTAGTGGTCTATAGTAAACATCCACCATGACGTCACCCTTGTTGCTCTTCCCTCTGACCTCACTTTCAACAGGGCTTTCTCTAGTTTCATATTAGAGCTCTGACCAATCATACAGCTCTTTTACATACAGAGCAACTCTTCCTCCACTTCTCTTCTGCCTGTCCTTCCTGAACAGTTTATATCCATCCATGACAGTATTCCAGTCATGCAAGTTATTCCATCAAGTCTCTGTTATTCCAATAACATTATAGTTCTGTGACTGTGTGAGGACTTTCAGGTCTTCCGGCTTGTTTCCCAGGCTCTGTGCATTCATGTACAGACATCTGAGGAAAATAGCTAATTGCCCTGCTTTCTCAGGAAGAATAAAGAGGTCTTCCCTGTTGCCCCCTCCTGCTTGCGCTTCCTCCAGGTCACCCACTTCCCCACTTACCTCAAGGCTTTGGTCTCCATCCCCTACTGAACCTAGCTTAAAGTCTTTGTCACTAGGTTAGTGAGCCTGTCTGCAAAAATGCTCTTCCCTGTCTCTTCATTTTGTCTCTTCTTAGCAATCTTTCTTCTCAGAACAACAAGCTATAGTCAGAGAAGCCAAAGCCCTACTGTCAACACCATCTGCACACCCATGCATTGATCTGCAAGATGTGTTTGCTTCTCTATGAGCTCTTCCCCTTGACCAGAAGGATTGAAAATAACACCTGAGCCCCTGTCCCCTTCACCCTTGCACCCAGAGCCCTGTGATCACTTTTGATCTGCTCATGGTCCCTCCCACCCCCACCCAGGTGTGTCATTGGTGTCCACATTGATGAGTAGCATGGGGTAGTAGTCAGAGGGCCAGAAGAATCTTAAGAACATCCCTCCATGACATCTCAGATACAGAGTCAGAGCAAGCAGCAGACCTCCTAAGATAACAGGTCAGGCTAGGAGATAGATGCCTCTCTCCCTTGCAGATGGGAGTTGCTGATCACCACCATCTATGACTTTCTCTTTGTGGCAGTGGTATCTATCTTCCCAATCTTGGGGAGGCCTGGTCTGGCCTCTTCCACTGATGGAATGTGCTCCTCCTCTTTTGTTGGTAGGGCTCCACCTGTTCTCCAGACAAACTGCTGCAGGTGGGGATGAACAATTTTGCTTACTATCAGAGGTAACAAGCTTCCAGCTTCCACCTTCCTGGGAATCCATGTTCTCTTCCTTCACCAGCACCACCTCTGGCAGTCCTTCCTCTGCAGTCCTAGCGGTCTCCTCTAGCACCACATCAATGAAATCCTCATGGCAGAATATGCTTCAGAGACTTGTCTTTTCCTCCTATAGCTTTTTCCTGCTGCCTGAGGGACACCACCAGGAGGCATGGCTCACATTGCAGAAACTCCCCCACCTGGTCATCACTGGGAGGAATCTGCAAGCCTTAGTCTCCACAGCACCAAACCAGGACATGGGTGGAACCTTTGGTGAGCAGTCCTGCCTAGACAGATACCTTTCAGGTGCAAGCAGAGGAAGAACTGGCAGTGGCAGTGGCTCTGGTATTGTGTCTCTCCAGCTATCTCTGTGGGGTACTTACATCTACTGCCTACCTCTTCCTGTCCCCCTTATCAAGCAGACCTCCCCTAGCAAACTCCCATGTAAGCTGGCCTGTTTGCTGCCCCTTGATCCTGAAGGCTAGGTACAGACAGTCAAAAAGTCCGAGGCTGAACTGATTTAGTCTTTGCATCTTAGCCTAAACTGCACAGATTAAATTGAAACAGAAGTGAACAGATATTTACATTTGTGCACCCGTTGGGCTTCGATCATCCGGTCACGTGCCGACCAGCTTTGAATGTGTAACCCGCACTGATCCCACCTGGCTCAACGCCTTGGGTTCCATCGCTCTCCCTTCTTCCTCGGGGCCAACCCTGGTTGTCCCCCTTTGTTTTTCTGATGTCCTGGATTCCCTCCCTTGGGTCCTCCATCAGGATGTGATGCGTCGGCTTCCTCTCCCTCTGGACCACTGCTGGCATCTTCCTCACAATGGTCTTCAAGGCAGCCTTCTGCTCCGTGAGAGTCAGTCCTGCCTTCTCTATCCCCTAAAAGGGGTCCTGGGAATACCTCCCCTGCTGATCCACTTCCCAGTCTCTCCCCCACTGCCTTGCTCGTGACGCCTTTTATCCCCCTGTGCCGGCTCCTCCCGTGCCTCTCCCCAGCTGGGCGCAGTTTTAAAAAGATGCAGCTAATGAGCCACGTGGGTCCTGCCACCGCTTCCGGTTTTGCCGCGGCTCCAGCTGCAGGTAAGAGATTCTTCTTCTTTTTCTCTCTCTCCTTGCCTTCCTTGGTGTGTTCCAGCCCCCAGAGATCCCCCTTGACCCCTCGGGGTCCGTCCGTTGTGTCCTCCCTGTGACAGTTTGATTCAGGAAATGCAGCCACATGCCTACAGTGGCTCATGCCAGAAGCTGGGGGTGCTGAGCTCTCAGGCTGTGTTCACTTCCTGTTCCTGCTTTCCCTGAAGTCTCTGGGACTTATAGTCCAGAATTATAGTAGGAGGACTCTGCAGGGTTGCTCATCACTTCTTCTTCCTGTTTCCAGATGCCTCTGGGATGTGTAGTCCACAATCACAGCCAGCAGTAAGTTTGAGTGGGGGAAGAGTGTTTAACCCCCTTCCCTGGCCCCAAACCCTAGCTAGGGTTTGCCTGGGACAGCAGTTCCTCCCACCTCGCCTTCACACTGGGCTGCATCCCCAACCAGGCTTGCCCCCTGCCCCACCCCCTTGATAACTAGCTCACACTGCTCCAGCTAGAGAGCAAAGGTGTAGGAACAGTCCTGCTCTCTGGAGCAGGTAGATAGCTCAGCTCATCCCAGCCCAGCCCAGCTCTATTATGTCTGGAAAGCATGCTGGGGAACTGTGATTTAACTTGAACCAGGAAGGGGTCTGGGACAGAAGTTTCATAAACTGGTTTGATCTAAATAAGTCAAGTCTGATACTACATTCAACCAGGTTTGTCTTTAATCAGTTTCAGCCATTTTGAAACTGGTTTATGTGCACTGAGCTTCTGTTCTGTTACAGGTTTAAACCAGTTTCTGATGACTTAAACTGGTTTGTGTGTAACTTCTGTCTCTAGCCAAAAGACTCCCTTTCCCCTGCTAATCTACTTCCTCTCAGCAAGCTTACAGTGAAGGAAGATAGAGAGTTTCTGGCAAACTCCCTACTTGCTCTTGTCTCTGGTTAAAATGGATCTAACTGCTGAGTTTTAGCTACTTACTTTGAATATCTAGGTTAGTTGTCCTTAATTAAAGAATGAACTTACCTGAAAGGCTGTCCTTCAAAGGGTGGTGAGGGAGGGGTGCAAACAGATCTATATGCTGCTTGCAAACTGCCCTGCTTGCTATCCCTTTTTGCTCATCCCCTGGTTGCTTGGGGAGTCTCCTTTTCAACTCTTCTGGGCTTGGACTGGCTCTGTCCCCTTGTTAGGGCTTTTGTCAGATACAGGCAGTAATCACTCAGCTAGCAGCACTCCCTGGGGGCTCTGTTCAGGACAAGTACATAGAATCACATCTTACAGACAGAAGCAAGTTGAGGGAAGAAGCTCAACCTATGGCAAGGTGTGGCAAAGGAGATGCTGGCGTGAGGGAATGAATGTAAAAAGTTGTTTAGCTGCTGGGAGGAGGACTCAGCCACCATACTGTGGGTGAGGAAGAAAAATGCACAGCAGGAAGGAACTAAACGTGTAGGAAAACTAGCCAGTATGGCAAAAAAACAGATTGGCTTAGCAGGGAATTCTTCAGTGAGCTAAAACACAAAAAGGAAGCTTATAGGAAGTGGAAACTTGGACAAACAACTATGGAGGAGTATATAAGAATTGCTTGGGCATGTAGGGATGAAATGAGGAAGGCCAAAGTGCTAGTACTGTGCTGGAGTTGCAGCTAGCAAGGGACATGAAGGGTTTTTACAAGTATGTCAACAACAAGAGGAAGATCAGGGAATGTGTGGGTCCTTTATTAAATGGGGGAGGCAACCTAGTGAAAGATTATACAGAAAAGGCTGAAGTACTCAATGCCTTATTCTTTTTCACCTGGCAGAATAGTTTGGGGAGGAGGTGAACAGCCAACAGTAACAAAGAACAGGTTAGGGACTACTTAGAAAAGCTAGCTGGGTACAAGTCCATGGGGCTGGCATGATGCACCCAAACGTGCTGAGGGAGTTGGCTGATGTAATTGCAGAGTCACTGGCTGTCAGCATTGAAAACTCATGATGACTGGACAAGGGTAAATACAGCACCCATCTTTGAGACAGGGAGGGAGGATCCAGGGAATGACAGACCAGTCAGTCTCACCTCACTTCCTGGAAAAATCATGGAGCAGGTTCTCAAGGAATCCATTTCTAAGCACTTGGAGCAGAAGAAGGTGATCAGGAATAGTCAGCATGGATTCCCCAAGGGCCTGACCAGTCTGATTGCCTTCTATGATGAGATGACTGGCTCTGTGGATGTGGGAAGAGCAGTGGCTGTGATATACCTTGACTTTAGTAAGGCTTTTGTACAGTCTCCTACAATATTCTCACAAGCAAGCTAAGGAAGTACAGGTTGGACAAATGGTCTGTAAGGTGGATAGAAAACTGGCTGGATTGTCAGGCTCAATGGGTAGTAATCAATGGCTTGATGTCTAGTTGACAGCCGGTATCAAGTGGAGTGCCCCAGGGGTCAGTCCTGGGGCTGGTTTTGTTCAATGTCTTCATCAGTGACCTGGAAGATGGCATAATGTGCACCCTTAGCAAGTCTGCAGATGACACCAAGCTAGGGGAAGCAGTATATACACTGGAGGGTAGAGCTAGGATTTAGAATGACCTAGACAAATTGGAGGATTGGACCAAAAGAAATCTCCTGAGGTTCAATAAAGACAAGTGTAAAGTCCTGCAGTTAGCATGGAACAATCCCATGCACTGGTATAATTGGCAGCCAGTATCAAGGTGAGTGCCCCAGGGGTCAGTCCTGGGTTCAGTTTTGTTCAGTAACTTCATCAGCAAGCTGGAAGATGGGATGGAGTGCACCCTCAGCAAGTTTGCAGATGACACCAAGCTGGGGGGAACAGTAGATACACAGAAGGGTAGGCCTAGGATTCAGAGAGACCTCAGTAAATTGGAGGATTGGACCAAAAGAAATCTCCTGAGGTTCAATAAGAACAAGTTTAAAGTCCTGCAGTTAGCATGGAACAATCCCCATGCACTGGTACAGGCTGGGAACTGACTGGCTGGGCAACAGCTCTGCAGAGAAGGGTTTGGACAAACTGGAGAGAGTCCAGCAGAGGACAACAAAAATGGTTAGTGGGCTGGGGCACATGACATCTGAGGAGAGGCTGAGGGAACTGGGGTTATTTAGTTTGCAGAAGAGAGGACTGAGAGGGGGTTTAATAGCAGACTTCAACTACCTGAAGGGCAATTCCAAAGAGGATGGAGCTAGACTATTCTCAGTGGTGGCAAATGACAGAACAAGGAGCAATGGTCTCAAGTTGCAGCAAGGGAAGTTTAGGTTAGATATTAAGAAGAATTTTTTCACTATGGGGGTAGTAAAGCACAGAAACAGGCTACCCAGGGAGGTGACAGAATCTCTGTTCTTGGAGGTTTTTAAGACCTGGCTAGACAGAGGCTTGGGTGGGATGATCTAGTTGAGGATGGTCCTGCTTGTAGCAGGGGGTTGGACTAGACTTCCTGAGGTCCCTTCCAACCCTAATTTTCTATGATTCTGTGATTCTAAATCAGAAGGAGGGAGTTGTCAAAGGGACTTTGCAAAGGGACTGACTTATCCCCTGTTCCCTTCCCCTATCCCCAGTAGCCCCAAGTGACACTGGTCACTTTGATTATTCCTAACTCACACAATTTTTGCTAAATCAAATAACAAAGAAAGCATATCTTATTGCAGGTCTGCTGTGAACATCTTTGAGCCAGGCTATTATCCTGGCTTCAAGACAAAAATAGTTAATAGATTAGATGGCTCAGGAAATTGGAAACAAGCTCTGGAGTTTTTTCTCTTTACTTAGGTCACTAGTTCAAACCTAGTATCTTCAGGGGAAGAAAAGAAGTTGTTACTCCTCATATTTGTGGCTGCCTGCTGAACTGTCCTTTCTTCTGGTATGTGATATGCATTAGATATTTCATTACAGTTCCTAAGTCTTGGTGTAAAACAACAAAACAGAAATCTATCATTTAAATCTGTACGAGCAACATGTGTGGTATGACTTTCAGCAGAAAGCCCAGGGACAATGACAATCCTATCTGTCGCAACAGGTGGTCCCTTGAGGTGGGGTGGTTTGCAGTGCCCCTGCCGGGCAGTGCCTGCTCTAGGAGAGGTTTTGGCTTCAGCTTTCACTTCTGTCAATTTGGCACCTTTCAAAGGCATTTAAATTTACTTCAAATGAGAAAACATAAAAGTCCATTTAAATCAATCTTTTAAAAATAAAATAGTTGGCTTCCTGCCAGTGGAGTCTTTTTCCTCATCTGATCAATGACTCTGTGTCCTCAGTCAGTCTCTCAACACCATGTGTCATCCTTTTTAATCCTTCTGATCTTGCTTAGTTCAAATACACGGGTTATCCACTGCTTGGAAAGAGCCCTCTGCCCCAGGTTACAGCTTCAGGGTCACTCCTTGGGGACCAGTCGTTGGAGACATTTTAGCAGTGGCACTAGTAGACCTGTTGCTGCATTTGACAACAAGGAAAGGACAACTCAGGAGTGTGGCTGCTTTTAGAAGAAGGATTGGAAGGCTCCATCTAAGAGTCAGTAGTCCACTCATGCTAAGACACTGACTGAATCAGCCCTCACCTCTGTAGCAGCCAAGATACAAAGCCCATAGGGCTTCTGTAGTACAGCAGCCAATGAGCAAGGCTTTGTGAGAAAAGATGGCCTTAATTAGCCAAAGAAGTGTGGAGCATCTAATTTACTACTCTTAGCAGCAGTATTTCCCTAGTTTAGTTCTCAGCATGCACATAATATTTTTCCTCCATTCACTTCAAAGACCTTTACAAAGATGGGGAAATAGTACTACCTTTATTGCATAAACAGGAGTCATGCAGCATGCCAAAAGTAGAGCTGAGTAAGGCGTCCAGGGATCCTCACTCCATACCCCTAGAACAGGGGTGGGCAAAATGGTGGATCTGGCTGGTGGCCAGACTCCATTTCCCAGCAGCCCCTGCCTGCGGGGCTGAGGACATGTCCATGAAGACCCCAGCAGCAGCTGTGACAGTGCAGCCCCAGGGTTTCTGTGGAGACTGGCTCCAGCAATGCTGGCCAGGCAGGTGGCAGAGCACGGAGCTGCTCTGAGGCCGGGCTGCGATCTCGTGGCCATGACAGCATGGTCTGGAGCTGGGGCAGAGCCGCAATCCACTGCCTGCATGCCCCTGCCCTGGAGTTATAATGAGCTGTTGTGAGCCAGCACTCCACCCCCTGCCACAGCT